CTTTGAACGATGTCATCCGAAGGGTTCTTGTCTCTATAAATGTTCCCTCGGTTTTAGATCCTTGTGGAATATTTAGATACTATGGTAAGAGACCCAACGATATGACATTGGTTCCTTGCGAGAGAGGTAAAGCCCTGTTGTGGGATCTTACTTGCGTAGACACTTTGGCGGCCTCTCATCTCAGAGGTACCTTGTTTAAAGCCGGGGCGGCATAAGAGGCAGCTGAACTGAGTAAGTCGCGCAAATATGAGTCTCTGAGAGATGACTACATATTTGTGCCCTTTGCTGTAGCGACTCTCGGTCCGTGGCGTCCACTTGCGGTAAAGTTTCTAAAGGAACTCTATCCGCGACTGGTCGTTGCTGCTAGTAATAAGAGGGCTGGTTCTTTTCTCGCTCAAAGGCTAAGTATAGCCATTCAGCGGGAACACGCAGCTAGTGTTTTTACCACGATACCGCGGAGAGTAGGACTGTATGATAATTACTGTATGATAACTAGTTTTTTTTTTATTATAGTTTTTATCTTTATATATGAAATTACGTGTCACATTGTTTGTCCGCGATGAACTCCTAAACTACTGAACTGATTTCAATGAAGTTTGCACACTCTGTGCAGTTTGGTCCAACTTGAGAGATAGGATAGTTTTTATCCTGATAAGTGACACTCAATATTTTTTTATTACGAATTGAAGGATTTTTTATATGAAGGGTCGTCAAAAAGGGCAGAACAACGTCTGCCTGGCCAGCTAGTATTTTGTATAACAAAATATTGTAAATTAAATTATAAGTTATATAATATATTCACAGAAAATTATACCATTACGTGGAACCAACTTCGTCAATTGGGTAATTTAATATATGACTATGGGAAATAATAAAGAGAATTCCTAGCTTCAGATAGATGGCGTTACAGACATTTACAGTACAGTACAGGCGTAAAATAACAATAATTTAAAATTAAAAATTTTGTACAGCCGACTTGTATATAAGTTATTAAGAATAACTCAATAACTATTGGTCTGACCTTGATCAAATTCATATGGGACCACACGAGAAGTACCAGCTTTCAAATAAAAAATAATATATATCATCATCGAAAGATAATCATCGAAATTGGTTCACCCAGTAAAAACTTACTGCTCCCGTTGTCATATCACATCACGTGTAGGAACTTTAAATCCACTACTGGAGTTACAGATTCCGGAGAGTTCGCTTGCTGTTTAGAATTACTTAGAAGATTTACCCATATATTTTTCATACTGGTAAGGCAGGTTGGTAAATACAAAGCCAATAATTTCGCAATTTCGTTGGTTATGCTTCTAACTAACAGTTTGTGTTCAGATTTTTGGTCAGATTTTGCCATCAGTTAGTTGCTAGTGCGTCGTCCGTCGGTCAGAAAGGTACACCGCATTTATGTTGTGCTTATTAATTGTAACATATAGTTAAAAACGCTAACTATCGTCTAACTTGAAAAAGAGGCATTTCAGGACAAGGTGATACATTGCATTTCAGTGTTATGAATGCCGATTGGGCAACGAATGGTTGGAAATTGCTAAAATTGGACGCCATATTCTGGATTTGCTTTTGTTTTTGCAGATGCTACTATTAGATGAGAGACATATCTGAAGCTTCAAGGCTAAAGTTGTGGCTTTGTATTTATTAAATATTTTTAATAATATAATAATTGAATGCGAGTTTTAGGCATTATTTAATGACAATCAGGGTGAGATTAAATTAATTTAAAATAGAAGTTATCGGTCACGAATAAAAAATACTGATGTTAGGCACCACTTTGTACGATATATGTGCGAAGAAGGTCTTATTGAACTCAGATATTTATGTACAGAAAAAAAAAACTCAGCAGATATTTAGTCTAAAGGATTGAGTGGATGAAAACATCATTAATGTTTGCGCAATTCAGGAATGATGTGTATGTAAATGTCCAGAGCATTGCTCACGGGAGGTGTTTAGTGATGAAATAATCGCGAAGATCGTGAGTCAATATAAGGAGCATAACAGATCGTTTAAAAGTATAATATTTATGTATGTATAACTAGGTACGTTACTATACCATAGTGAAGTACGGAAGCGTTGTTAAGTTTGCAATCGGTCCGCCATTATGAGATAAATTTTCGTACGTAAATCTATAATAACTATAATAACCTGTCTTTAACAAATAATAAAGTTTTTCATAGTTCTAACAATGTTTGGTTTCGATTCACTGACCAAATGGAACGTTTCACACGACTGGTCAAAGGGTGATTAGTCCCCCGCACTGCTATAGTGCATGTTGGTAAACTTTGCATGCCCTCGAGTGTGTTTAGATATGTGTTAAATGTTGTCTTCTTATTTCACGAAGAACTCTGAGTAAAAATTTGCATGTGTGACACACAGTCACATGCGCACACACACACACACACACACAAAAACACGCCCACACACACCCGTATACACTCACCTTCGCAAGCACGCACGTACTCGCACACGTGCGTAGACGTTGGGACGGTGTTGTGGTCTAATCCAACTCTGTTGAGCAGAGCAGCATTATAGAAATTGCCCACATCTTATCCGGTTTAATCTAGAATATATAAAATTGATGATTTTTTACCAATAATAATATGAGAAAGGCTGATAAAAATAGGGAGAAAGACGATTTTTATAAAACGTTTTACAATATAATAATTATTTTTTTCACACTTTCACTCTAAGATATAATTAATTATTATCTAAGAGTGAAAGGAACGCGTTCAAAAATTTCTTTAAAAGTTGCCTCCGTTTGGTGTCACGCCAAATAGGTATGATTTAAAGCTCCTGAGTACAGCTGCATCTGTTCTATGTTAAATGGATAGATATCTTAATTTGGCTTCGACTTACGGAATATAAGTCTTAAAATAATAGCTTGTTTTTACTACACCGTTAATATTTCAACGGAACCAAAGTTATGTGAGAGGGAAGTTATACCGGAGAAGTAAACAACCAATTAGTATTCGATTTGAATGAAACTTTTTAAAACATGTTTTTTAAACTTCACCTAGTTTTCAATGCATTACTTGCCCCTTCATTTCGACTCACCGCAGACTACAAACAAGCTCTTGGCAACTTGAATATCCACCATGACAACTGGATTACGTAATCGACCTCAGGTATTAGTAAAAGTCTTGGATGGCGGCGCTGTCATCACGCCCAATAGCGTAAACGGATTGAATTACAGCAAAAGTCTAATCAATCGCTATTTAAGTTTCTGAACGACTCTTTTTTCTTAATATATAGAACAATAGTAATCATACAGAGTTGACAGTTCCCGGGTTTCAACACCTTGCCCGGAGGGAGTACTCCCATTATCCTTCCAGACCATAACATTTTGCTCCATTTGTTGATATTTACGTATGAGTTGCAGTTTGTTTATACGAACAGTGCGGTTATCTTCAATGCTTGCCTATTACAGTAAAGACCATTGTCTTTGGCCATATGCTAATTATATTTCCATAACGTTATTCCTAAAGCAGTTTAGATGTATGGAATTGCGTGGAATTATGTAGGAACGTTTCAAATATTATATGAGTTCAATAAGTAATGGTGTATAAAGTAGGGTGTAGCCACGGTGCAGTTATTGAGCATAATGACTGATGACTAGTGATGTAAGAGCGATGCAATTGTTTTTAATTAATAAATAAAATAACAATCGATGTCTATTTGTAGGAGTATTTGTATGGGCGCACCTTATTGTAAATGCCATTCTAAAGTGGGTCTGGCATGCATCATTATTTTAAGAGACATTTATGTTCAAATTCTTGTGCATAAAATCTTAAGAGAGCTGATTTGAGTAATTAAAAAATTACTCTTTAATAACGAACCTTTGTTAAAATGACTTTCAAGATATAGTTAAGGATGTTAGACTAACGTGGACTCATTGCTAAGGATAGCATTGTTTTATGATCTTTGAAAATAATTTAGTATAAAATAAAAATTATTTCAATGTTTCGATGCGCCTGTATTTTTGTGAATACAAAACAGACTTTACAACATAGTAGTTGCTCTTTTAAGAAGAAATTCATAAACATAAACTTCAGGTACACCAAAACATCCGTAGTTTATATTTATACGTTTTTAAAAAGATTGAAGTTTGTAATGAGAACTGATATTGAAGTATTTTAGTGTAAAACAAATTCCAGAGATTGCAAATATTAATGTACACATGAACTTACATAAACAGCGAGCCTTATATAAAATGGTCATGTACTTTCACATTTTATCAGTAAGCATAATTACATTTTATATTAATATTTAGGAATTTAATTACGCCGTGTTGCGGCGTGGGGGAATCCATGGGGGATGTGGGGACCGTTGGGTAAATGAAAGTCTTATTACAATGCTGATTCCCTTATATGAATAAATCCTCGAGTTATATCGAATAAAGTGTTTAATAAAGTTCTCAGTAAAAATGGTATTTAATTGCAGTAATTCTCTTACCTACCTACCTACGTATACATTACACCACTACATGAGGTAGTGGTACATCATTCTCTGGGTGTTGTAACAGGCGACACAGGGAAACTGAATCAGGAGATGGACAGCAGCATCTTCCTGAAAAAAACTCAAAGTAATAAAAACTGGAGTACCCAACCAGTCTGCCCAAGAGTGGCAACTATTTCATATATTTAAGCGATAGTAGCCTAATGGTAGGGTGCGTACCGCGAACTCAAAAATTCGTGAGTTCGAATTTGCTTTTCGTCTTATATCGTAAACCACTCCTAACGCAAGCATTTTAAGCTTACCTGGAGCAGTTACGGGAATATTAGTAATGTTAACAATATTACTAGTATTGGTAATCCCCGATATGAGGCCTATGTTAAGCATAGCGCCTTAGACCCACCAAACATTTAGAATGGATTTTTACCTACACAAGTTCAAATGAGTTATATGATCATTGAGTAGGAAATCTCACTTCATAGACAGTTTAAATTATTCTTTCAAGTAAGCTTATCACAAACACAAAAGTGTATATGGTCAAGAAAATTATTGTGATATCAAATACAGTACTTGTTTGTGATCTGACTAAAAGGTCTTTAAAAAGATGGTATCAAAAGCGTGTAGCTTGTTAGCCCGCTGAACTTATGCTGTAGCAGCATGTTTCTTATTTCTGTGAAATACGGAGAGAAAACTTGCCAAGGTACTAGTATATGCTATGCTGCTAAATCTTTTCTGTGAAGTGGCTAAAATAGTAACATTAAAACACTTGTGAAAATACCTACTTGCCTATTATATTTTGTTCCCTTTTTGAGGAAAAAGATTAAGTAAAGATTCATAACATAAACTGTATTATGAAAACTTAAATACCACGCATTTATCACGAACTGTAAAATTCCAAGTAAGAATACTATATCATAATAATGAAATTATTGCATTGTAGAGAAAAAAAGATACATAATGCCTAAAAATTCTTAATGCCTAAAAATTCTCTAACAGTTAACTCATGGAGTGGTAAGAAATTGACGAAGGAAGCAATTAAATTTGACAAAAAATTTGAGGAGGGAAAAAAGAAAAAAAATTACGAACTAATATAAATACACATTAAATGTATCGAAAATTTATTTTTATTCTTTTTTTTGTAATTCTAATAATTCCTTAGCGTTTCTCAACGTTCGCGAACCAACTTTCGGGCAAGGAATTTAAAGAAGTGCAGCTTGAACAGTGAAGGAGTTATCATAGAACCTGGTATAATGAGTAGGAATATAAATCTTGTTGTTTGGCGATGGACATATTGTAATTATACTACAAGGTTTATTACTATTACCTACTTAGCCGAGCCCTGGGCAGAAAAGGAGGTCTATTCCCAGTATAGAAATACCTATATTGAATTAATTAAAATACATTTCAGATTCGTAAGCTAGTCCTAGTGTACATAATAATGTATCTCATGCAATCTAAACTTAAGCTTATGGCTTAAGTCGTCTGTTCATATAATCCTCACTAAATAGTAATGGATCTCTTAGATGCTTTGTAATCATTGTTTCAAATAAGGTCGTTATTTTATATACCTATTAAAATGGCCATGTCGAGAGAATGAATGAAGAACGAATGATGAAAAAAGTGTATAAGGCGAGTGTGAATGAAAGGTAGACCTAGGCGGACATTTCTAGACCAAATCAGGGACGTCTTGAAAAAAGGCCAGGTCAAGAGTACCCTAAACCGTAGAGCATGTATGAAGGGAATAATGAAAGTGGACGAAGCAAAACAAGTATGTAAGGATCGTAGCAAGTGGAAAGAACTGGTCTCTGCCTACGCCTACGGGAAAGAGGCGTGATTATATGTATGTATGTATGTATTAAAATGTATTTGTATATAATACCTAAGTCATACCCTTTATTTAAGCCCAACCTATACCCATTATTGAATTCGTATATGACAAAAATTGTACCTATTTAATTAGAGTATTAATGTAGATGTCTATGGACCATAGTATCCACTTACCATCAGATGGATTGAGTGCTCATTTTTATCACCATGGTTCAATAAAAATGTTTATAAAAGTTCAAACAATGTTTTTAAGAATATTATATGTCGGAGCGTCTACAAAATACCAGTTGAGTCGAGTGAGCGAGAGGTTGCGTCACTCTAGCGGAACGTCATATCGATGGTAGCGAGGTGGAAGTGAGGGTATATCGAGAAACCCCCCCTCTTGTTGGTGCAGTATAAAGTTCACTGTAGGCGCCGTGCGCGAGAGATTCCGCTTGAGTCATTCTACGAGTGAAGTCATGTTACGAGCAAGGAGGATGGTGTTGCTGAGAGGCTGTCCTGTGTACACTGAGATAAGTAGTGTTTCTGTTGGTTTGCATACTTTGGTGTTATCACATAAGAATTAATTAGTAATTAGTATCATATCTACCGCCTATGTAAAAAAAAAACATGCCGCTAAAGCGTACTCCTCCAAGGGATCTGCAAACGTCAAATTGTGAGTTGGATTCAAGCACAAAAGGTTCCACTGAAAATATCGCTAGTAGAAATAAGCGGAAACGGGAACATGGGGATTGTAGTGAAGAACTCAAAGCTTTTAAATGTGAGCTCCTGGACTTATTCAATTCAAAATTTACTACTCTTCAGTCTCTTATAAATGACATTAGGGAGCAAAATACCGATATACGCAAGTCTCAGGACATTATGTCTGAAAAGTATGATGAAATAATACTTAAAATAGAAAAACTGGAGTCTGAAAGAAATAAGAATCTTATGTACATTCAATCCCTTGAGACTAAATTGGAAAATATGGAAAGACACCTCCGGGCAGCCTCTCTGGAAATTAAAAATATTCCGAAACAACAAGGGGAATCAAAGGAAGACTTAGTTAATTATATAATAAAACTTGCTCGGTTGCTCAAATTATATGTACAACCTTCATAAATACGGGATATCTTTCGAACAAGCAATAAGAATAAACAAAACACTTTAGTAGTTGAGTTTAGCTCTGTTCTACAAAAAGATACTTTGTTGGCAAGTCACAAGAAATTCAACAAGTAGAGAAAAGACAATAAATTAAATTCATCACATTTACAAATTGCAGGTACTCCAGTAACTATCTTCGTTTCCGAAAATTGACACAAAAGGTGAAAAAATGATTCTTCTTGGCTCGAGACTTTGCCAAGACCAACGGTTTTGCTTACTGTTGGACGACGCGTGGTAAGGTCTATTTACGTAAAGCTGATGGTGCTAACTATCTACGACTAGATGGTGAAGAAGATCTGATGAAGCTGCAACGACAGAAATGACTATACTTTAACGTGTTTTGCAACGTATCTTCTACTTTTTTCTTAATTTATATTATTTTGCTTATAATAATTTACCGTTTCTTTTATTTTTCTAACGAATTTATAATATTTTATGTAAAAGTAAGTACCTAAATTGTTTTCTGTACAAACACACAATACACTAACTCACTTATGTTACCTACAATCATTCATACCTCACTTTCACATACAGACTCAGTTAATACATCATTCAATTATATACATACTTTACTACATATCGAAAATATACACATTTCAAAGTTATCTTACCTACAAAACTGTGCTTGAGCATATTTATTTTCATGAGCTTTTATTGGGTATCATTTCATATATATACATATTAGTCATTTACTTAATGCATAAGCAAATTTTTCATAATTATTACTTAGTCGTCTCATGTCGAATAAATTTGTCTAATAATTTTTTAAATTGTACTACATTTACAATTTAATTTAAATAATAATAATTATTAATTAAATTAAATAATTTAAAATACATAATTTAATTTAATAATACATAATTTAAAATTTATGTCTACCTGGTACAAATTACCAGGTAGACATAAAATATATTCGATTAAAAAAATTATGTTGAAGATTGTTGGCTTTGAATAGTTCCATCCAACGAGATAAGGGACAATTTTGTGTCCCGGAGCTTTATTTGGGGACAATGGGACAGGTGACCGAGAAAAGCGACAGTCCCGTTCAACGGTGGTAGAGCCACGCAGCAGTTTTTGCTGTTGCACGTATGGGCCGGCTCGAGCGGGGTTGGTACCACGACCTCACAGAATACCGGCGTGAAGTAGAGGCTCTGCTTCTGCGTTTCGTCTGGTGAGTGCACGTGGCCGGAGGCCCAATTCCCCCCCCCCCCCCCCATCAACATGGTAGCGGAATTACAGGAGGGTACCAGTACCCCTGGAGAATCCCTCGCTGAGCATCCACGACCATGTTATTCCAATCCTCAGCGTGGGTGCTCAGGCTACCCCACGAATTCTGGACTGGGGGGGGGGGGGGGACTTGGGCAAAATTCCGCTCAAAAACATAACTGCTCGGGGCAAACTGAGCAACAATATCAAGGCGACCCCTGCCACGCTATCCGTGAATTTCTGCAACATCAGGGGACTTCACTCTAACCTAAACGCCGTCCACAACCATCTCGAGACGGCAAAGCCAGCCTTGCTCTTTCTGACCGAGACGCAGGTGTCCTTTCCGGCTGATACTTCATATCTCTCCTGCCCGGGGTACAAATTGGAGCACTCCTTTGTGCCTCGGGCTGGAGTTTGCGTGTATGTCAGAGAGGACATCTGTTCTCGACGCCTCGGCAGTCTTGAAGGTTCGGACCTGTCCATCCTTTGGCAAGGCGTAGACAGCGACGACCATCCGCGCGTCTACGGGTGCCTCTATAGGTCCCATAGCGGTAATGCCGAAACAGACCGACTCATCGACCACGTCCAAATGGCTACAGATTCCTTGCTACAACAGGTCCCATCCGCAGAGATCGTGATCCTTGGCGATTTTAACGCCCACGATGCCGAATGGCTCGGTTCACGTTTAACCGATCATGCGGGGAGATCTGTTTATGTCTTTGCCTTGGCATATGGTCTGACACAACTGGTTACTTTGCCTACGCGGATTCCAGATGTGGAGGATCATACACCTTCCATGTTGGACCTTCTGCTGACCTCTCATCCGGACGGATATCAGGTTTCCGTCGATGCCCCTCTCGGCTCTTCGGACCATTGTCTGATCCGGAGTGTGGTGCCACTCACGCTCCCTTCGCGGTTGCGTTCTGCAGGTTGCCGCCGTGTTTGACATTACAGGTCGGCGGATTGGGACGGAATGCGGTCTTTCTTTGCATCCTACCCATGGGGACGGGTTTGCTTCTCGCCGGATGATCCCGGACGATGTGGTGCTACAGGGAATGGAACTATTTATTCCATCATCTGTGGTACCCATCGGAGGCAGATCTCAGCCTTGGTTTGGTCGCTCCTATAAAACTGCATTACGCAGTAAGCAGGAGTGTTATCAAGCCTGGGCTGCGGCTTCGGCGACTCGGGATGTAAGCACCAGCACACTTAAAAAGTAGTATAACTTCGCCTCCAGGTCCTTCAAAAGAATTATTGCCAAGGCCAAGTCAGAGCACATAGGCAGAATTGTCGAGAAACTAGTTCGCCTTCCTTCGGGAACCCGTGCATTTTGGTCTCTCGCCAAGGCTGTCCAAGGGAATTTCTGTAAGCCATCACTACCATCTCTGCACAGGGAGGACGACTCACTGGCCCAAGACGCAAAAGACAAAGCTGGCCTTTTA